AAATGGCAGTTGGGAATTGCGAAGTGGTGGCTGTTAGGTACTGAAATGTTGACTTTGTTTTGTTTTTAATTTGAACATGTTGAGAACATGAAAGCTACTAGCAAAGAAAAGAGGGTAAATAAATTAAGGTATATAAATATGTATGACCAACATATACATACATGCATACAAACTAGGGTGGTCCAAAATAAGTAAAGTCGAAATTTTAATGTCCCTAGGATTGTTCTATGTCGAATAAATATAGCCCTATTTTTTTCATTTTAACATCAAAAAATATTAGAAAATCTTGAAAATCAAATTTTTCGATCAGAAAACCCTGGTTTTCTTTAGGAGACTGAGTTTTCACATTGAAAAATATTGAATTTCAAGAATTCTATACCATTTCTTCGAAAAGTTGTTTTTTCCCCATACAAAACACATGGATAACTCTGAGCGCTTTTGAGCGACCTCTAAATATTTTTTGATTTGATTTTCGGTATAGAACAATCCTAGGGGTGAGAGCATAAAAATTCCGACTTTACTTTTTCACATGGATTTTTGGGCCACCCTAATATACACATATTTATGTGTAGATGAAAAAAAAAAATAGAGAATTTTTAAAGTAGAAAACAGCTGCTGTATAATAGCATTAATTTCAGAAATGTCCCAAAATTCGAAATCGAATTTCGCAAACCATATGGCAGAAAGCAAATGTACGCCAATGAAAATAGGAAAGGCAACCAAAGTTCTCCATATATAGCATAAAGAACAGCGCCTTACATATTAAGAATATGGAAATATATGCATATAAAATTTTCGTCGGAAAAATTAAATACAAACCACTCAGGCTACTATATGCAAAACGGGATAGAACCCCTGCAACTTCTACAACCTCGAAAACCAGTAATCAAACTAAGGAAGCCAATATAAAAAAAAAAACAGATTTTTACCTACCTGCCGATTGATGCCACAATAATCAAGAACAACAACTAGCGGTTAGACGGACGAACAAAAAGTATTTAAGTAAAACACTGAAGTTGGCACAACGTCGAAACCGGGATATCTTCAAACCATATTTGACAAGGGAAGGCGGAAGTTTAAAGACTTAGCTCAATTTCAGAAAACATTTTGTCCGCGGAAGCCGTTAAAGATAATTTATCCTGCATACTCAAAATCTTAGGAACTTTGTTAATTAAAAATTAAAAATTAAAAATTAAAATGCGTTAAGTTAGTCAGACAAATGTCATCTTCATATGAATGTACATATGTATGTGTGCAGCTGACGAAGCATAGCCTATTGAAGTTTAGTGCCAACAACAAAATATAGTGTCATAAAAAAAACAAACGACAACAACACCACCCACAAGAACTAAATATACAAGTGCGGTATAACGCAGCCAAACAATGACAACAAGCCATAGGCCACAATTGAAGGCAAACGAAACCAATTGTAGCCATTTGTGTTAATTGTGGATGCCATAGGAAACATAAACACCGAAGGGTTGCACGTTTCACCACGGGAATAAATGTATCAAAGAAAGGAAGAATGAGCGAATGAATGAGTTGAGGAATGAATGAAAAAATCCTATAGCGCATTGGAGTTTGTTTCAATTTATGCGAATGAATGCAGAGAAAAGGGGGAAAAATGTTTCCTGGCGGCAAAATTTTAAGGGAGCGGGTATGGAGAAGAAAAAATTTTAAGAAGGACTAACGGAAATTCAAGCACAGAAGTTATTGGGAAGGGAACCACTGTTTTTATACACGCGTTGCATGGCTAAAAGAAAACCAGAAAAATGTAGTAAAAATGCTGTGAAAATCGCACGAACAGAAGTAAACACGATTTAAAGGAAGAAAAAAAGGAAAAAAATAAAAATAAATAAAGAGTTGAAAGAAACAGCAAGCAGCTAATAAATACAAGCGCTACAACCAACAAAAGTCAAGGGGAAGCCTCGCAACGCACACAAAAGGCTCGCACTTCACGTCGGCATAAAATACGACGGGAATGTTACAATGGACACACGTACATACATGTGTGTGTGTGTGTGTAGCCACATTTTTAGTAGGCTACAAATTTGCTAAAAACAACAGCCAGTCAGCAGTTGCGCCAGTAGCCGCAGTGGCAACCATAAACAATGGCAAAATGGCGTTGGCTCACCTTTGTCTGCTATGTTTTAGTCCACTTTGTTGCAGTTGTTGTTCCTTTTTTTCTCCTTCTATTTTTAACTGTTGATCCTATTTGCGCGCATATTTTAGTTTGCCAACTCCTGCAGGATGAAGTGGATAAAGATAAAAAAGTATAACGCTTAAAACAAAAGACAAGCCAAGCGGCAGTTTGCAAGGCATAATATAACGTACCTATCCGAGTGAAGCCGCCACCACTAGGCATGCCAGCTTGAGAAGAGGTAAAAATAGAAACTTTACAAAAAATGGAAGGATGCCTCACCGGATGACGCTTAGTATCTAAAATAAGAGTTAGATACAGAAGAGTGCTGATGATAAGCCGGAAGGAAATTTTGCTGCGCAATTGTGCGCGTGCCACAAATAAGCGAAAACAATGGCATAAGTATGCATTCCACACACAAACTCGCGCGTACTACATGTGTAGAAACGAATACGTTAAGATGTGTATTTGGCTAAGAAAAAATATGCAAACATTACTTGTAATTAGTATACCAAAAGTACTCAGAACTCGATTCTTAAAAGGATTGACAGTACCCGATTATTAAAAGTATCGATACTGAGTACTCCAAAGCGACTACTACTATTAGTATTAAATCGACGTTATTTGGGATTGATATATTAATTTTAATAAAGTCCTGCCAGCTAGTGAGATTTCTACACTAAGCATTAAAATGTTACCATATGGCGTTAAAATGCTCTAAACTTTAATTCAAAAACTATTGCAAATGTTAGTCAGATCGACAAGCGATCCAAATGCCATATTTCATCTAAATCTGTGCAGCCGTTTCCGAGTGAAGAGTGGTCTCGGTTTTTAATATCATCAAATCACCAAGTCACCCTTTGCGGACAAAAAAAGGTCTGACTATAAAAATTAAAATCTTATTGCACATCTACAGGCCGAGGTCTTTACTTCGACCCCTCATATTTGAAATTCGAATGAACGGTGCAAATCTAATGACCTTGACACTCATATTTTAATATTTCATAAATCTTGGATAGAAATCCTTGTCAAACTAAAATCTTCTTACGTCTCTTTGGTCTAACATTGTGATAAATATTTCAATTGAATTATGAATTAAGTTGAATTTGATTTTTCAAACACGTGGGAACCCTCCTAATTAAAGGTCAGTAATAAAGCCTTTTAAATCCCATTTCGATTGATAGTAATCCATTTATCTTTCTAAATAATTTGAATGTAACTTTTTAAACAGGTGACAACCCCCTTCAAACGTAAATATTCAAACTAAATATTTGTTAACACTCTTTCGTTAGACACCCGTATTTTTATATTTCATATTATTTGTATATATGTAAGTTAATTAAATTCTACTTTTCAAATATGTGGCAGCCCTCTTAAAAATATTTCAAGCTAAAGCCTTCTTAAATAAGCTTCGTCTGACATCGTAATACATATTCTATCAAACTGATGAAATAAGTTGAATCTTATTTTTTGAACATGTGGCAACCCTCTAAATATAGTTCAGAAATAAAGCCTTGCCAAGCCCATTTCGAGTGATACCAATGCTTTAGTAATTTATTGAACTTTCTCAATTATTTGAATTTAACTTTTAAACGGGTGGCAACTCTCTTTAAACACCTCAAAAATACTCTTAGTGTTAAAACTAAAGATCTCTAAACACTATTTTGTTTGACATATTTTAATATTTCTTTGCATATAAGTTAACTGAATTCGTCTTTTCAAACAGGTGGCAACCCTGTTTAAAATATTAACAAACTTTTACCTTCTCAAAGTCTTTTCGTCTGACGCGCATATGGGCATATTTATTTCTATTACCTAATTCCCTTAATTGAAATTGAATCTGATTTTTTAAACAGGTGGCACCCCTCTTACAGTGAAGTTACGAAATAAAGCTTTTAAAAACCATTTCGATTGATATAAATTTTGTAATAATTGGTTTAACTTTTTAAATATTTTAAACTTAATTTTTTAAAAGCTGGCAACTTTTCTTGTAAAAGTAAAACCTTATTTCACATCTACAGCCCGAGCACTCTAAATTGAAATTTGAAAATCGAGCGAAAGGTGCGGATCTGATGGCACTGGTAATTAAAGAACTCTCTAAAGACGCGTAGCGATGTGCAGCGTAACTCTGGATTTGCCACATACTGGTACAGACGTACAGCTGTACTGGGTTCCGGGGCATACCGGCACCGATTTTACTCCAAACGGGAGATCGACCTATCAGTGATGTGAACCAAAACGCTAGGTTGTTAAGTGTCCAGGATTATGTGGGGGATTATGAGGGAGGATGCTTTGAGTAGTGGTGTCTGTTCCAGCGGAACAAAAATTTTATTAGGAAATTAACTTAAATAACTACTTTAATATCACAAAAATTCAATGATATAAAAAAAATTATATCTATATTTTTCTCTTTATAGCATTAAAATCTTAAGATTATGCAAACAAATTAAAATTAAAATAAAAGAAACAACCTTCCGCTACCCGAAGACTCGAACATAGATCTCTCGAATGGCATGCCAGTGCGTTGCTCACTTGGTCATTAAGACTGTTGAAACAAATATCCGTAACGTCCTTAATAATTTTACAATCTATGTACATGATGCTATTAGTTTTAAGCCGTTGAATGTATAAACAGGCAGAAAATGTCAATATATTGTCTGTATATTATCACAGCGAAATTTCAACAAAGGATACCGAAGAGTTTCACATAAAAACTTATTTATTATATTTTAGTGCTTACTTAAAAAAATTACTTTATTTAGGACATGTAATCTAAAGTTATTTATATTGTATGGTATATTTTCTAATTTTATATTCTCTCTCTCTCTTTCTTTTTATTTTCTCTTTTCTCCACACGCAGGCGATTCAATTATTCTAAATTGTCAAGCCGATGGCACACCAACACCCGAAATCTTATGGTACAAAGATGCTAATCCCGTTGATCCCTCGCCTACTGTTGGCATCTTTAATGATGGCACCGAGTTACGGATCTCCACCATACGACA